TTTAAAAACAGACAAACAAAACCAAGCACACAGGAAAATCACAAAGATGTCTCCATGTTCTGGCCACTTGATTCCAATTATCCATGTTCCAATCACCCAGAGTGAAATTGTTTATCAGCCAGCAGATGACAAGTTATGAACAGCCAGGAAATTTCCTCCTGAAGAAAGCAAATGTTTCAGAATTCTACATTTTCTTAGGACTTAATATTTAATAGAGAAAGGTTTTTTAAAATTATTTATAATGCAGACTTAGGGAATCTCCAATTGTGTTTAAATAGGGGAAAAATAACTATACAGAACTAAAACTACAGCTATTGCACTGGTGCAGGGAAACAATCAACCTTCTGGGCACCTACTGGGTGTTCAGAATTATGATCAACGTGTTCACATTGAACCTCAACATGAACTCCCAGCTCGAGGTATTAGAACAGATGAGGACCAAGCTTAGGGAAGGCAGACAGACCCGGGTTTGATTTTCAGCTCTGCTCCTTCCAAGCACTGTGGCCTCAGGCAAACCTTGCAACCCCTCTGGGCCTCCACATCCTTATTTATAAAACAGAGTTTGGACCTACAAACCAAGACACCTCCCAGTTCTGACTTGCTATCTTCCAATATTCCAGAGCCAGTTCTCACCCATTAAAATCCCCATGTTTGTAGGATCTGATTCTCTAACTGTTCTATTCTTTAGTGCTTGAATGAATCCACTGAACTACAATTGTTTACTATTTGTACTGCCCTACTAGGCTGTACACTCTGTGGGGACAAGACTGTCCATTGTCCTCTCCACTGTATCCCAGCACCTTGTAGGGAGCCCCAGGCACACTTGGAATTCATTCAGTCCGTGAATGTTTATTAAGCAACAGGTATGTGGCACTGAAACCAGAGCCTTGTTCTACCAGGCCAGAGCAGCTTCCTCGGATAGTAGAGATGGCTGGCACTGATTCTGGGAAGATCCTGAAAGCCAGTCTCTGGGATGTCTGAAGATTGTAGAGAACCTGAGGAGGGCTCAGGAAAGGATGCACCTGAAGGACACCTGTGGAGGTGCACCTGGGGGAGACATCAAAGCCAGGGCAGCCTCAGGGCCCATGTGCTGGCCGCTGAGATCACCGCCGGGCCTTCACCTGTGGCCTGGTCATGGCCTCAAATGTGATGCGAAAATCCCTGCTTAGACAACCACCTGTGAAAGGCTGAGCCTGCAATGCCTGCCTGCAGCAACAGGGATGTGCTCCTTGAATTGAGTCAAAGTTGGGGTTATAGTTTTTTCCTTGCACGGGATGGGGCCTAAAACTTTTACCTCCAGTTAATTAAATTTCAGAAATTGCTGCTGAGGTCTGAGGAAGTGGGTTGGAACTGACTGTGGCCTGGACAAGAGCAGGAAGACAGGGTTCTTCTTCCTTGAACAGCCTCCTGAGAGCAGCTCTGGCCAGGGCCTCACAGGCAAGAGGCATGGGTAATGTCTGCCTGCTCAGGAAGACTCAGGTGACCTCGTGTTTATTTTTAGCTGTTTCTGTACAGAACGTAAAAATCCTTTGGACACTGGGCTCATGCCCAAGGTAAGGTGAGTAATAAACAGTAACAAGAGCATCAACCCCTCTCCTGAAGAGCCCATGTGGTGATCCAGGAACTCCTGGTCTCCTGAAACTATCACACTGGACCCACAGAACCTTGTTATTTATAAGCAGCTGAGGAATTGGGCCACTGGGCTTTAGTTCCTGACCCAACACTTGACATTACTAGCTGTGTGACCTTAGACAAGTCTCTTCCCCTCTCTGAGCCTCAGTTTCCTCATCCATAAAATAAGGGTGGGGGTGGACCAGATGGTTTCAAAGGAATCTCACGGCTCCAGCAAACCACATCTCATCTTGGATGCCAACCCTGGTCTTGGAAGTGGAACACAGGGAAGAGCCCTTGAAATTCAGCCTTCAGGAAAATACAGAATTGGTTCATTCGATTTCAGCATTTCCCTTAAAAGCACCACTTAGATCCAGCTGCAATCAACAACCATTGAGCATCTATGTACTAACTATCTCATCAACTGCCTCTTCATAACCAGCCTTTGTAATCACCCATGTCACCAGTGACAGGCATAACAGTACACTCACGGAGCATGGGCTATGCGGTCACCAAGGCTCGGGGTTTACCTCAGCCCTCCACTTCTGGCTTGGGGGTCCTTGAGCAAGTTACTTGATCCCTCCAAGCCTCAGTTTCCTCATCTGTAAAATGCAGAAAATGACGGCCCTTGCCTCATGGGGTTGTTTCAAGGTCTGAATGGAAATGGACACATGACACATTCAATAACTATTATCCATTACTGCTTTCACATATTATTACAACTATTATTAAAATTATTCCTTACCATTTCTGCTAGAGATGAGAAAAAGTAGGTTCAGGGAGGATGTGGGAAAGGACATCGCTCAAAACATCACAGAGTTCTAAGTTTTAATCAAGTCCAAGGATGGGCAAGGTCAGGGTAGCACTGGGTCAGTGTGGAGGAACAAAGTTGCCAAGTTACTGTGGCCAGACTCCTTCACTTCTCAGCCTCAGGGTCTCCACCTATAACACAGAGGCAATATCTCCCAGTTTGTGGGATTTCATGTGCTCCTGTTGGATGAAAAAACTCCTGGCAGAGCGTGGAGTGAGCAGAAGATTCTGAGGGACTGGTCCCCGCCTTGCCTTCCCCATACGCCTCTTCTGAAATCTCCAAGAAGGTAGCCTCCTGGTCCTTGCCTCTAACTGGTTCCTGCATTAGCATTCTCAGACACACAGGCTCAGTGGCCCAGCCAGTGGCAACTGGCCCCACTGTGGGACTGAGCTTCCTCCTGAGTGCTGAGGGGAAACAAATTTTGCTGTGGCCCACACCTGGGGCCCAAGAGCTCAAGTCCAGACATGTACATGGACAGCCCAAGCTCATGCATGCCTCAAAACCTCATCCAGGCAGCCTGCACCCCAACCACACACAGCCTTCATCCAGCTGGCCTCGGCATTGACCCCCAAGAGCTGGTTATCATAGCAGATGCAATAATAATGCCAACCACGATACTTCCTCCCTTCCCTTTGTGGTTCAAAGCACCTTCAAGTATGCTATTTAAGTAGGGTTGGACCCTGTGTTTTAGTCCTCTTTAGATAGTCACTGAATAATGCTAGGTATAGAGTAGATACTTAGAAACTACTTTGAATGAATACATTGTATGTTTATGACAAGCTTAAAAAATTACTCAGCACACTTACTATCAGTTACACATACTGCTAAGGGCTACATATGCATCCTTGCATTTCATCCTGGTCACCAACCTATGACACAAGCCCAATTATCAAGCCCCACTGTGTGGAAGAGGCAATTGAGGCTCAGAGAAGTTAAGTGGTATGCCAAGGTCAAGGCGGTGAGCAACAGACCTGAGACAGGAATCCTGATTCCAGACCTTGGTTCTCAGCCACTCTAGTCATTCTCCTCTTTTGCCAGAAGTGGCAGCGAGAAGGGGGACGGGAGCAGCGTGTACATAATCTGAAGAAGTGTATCAATAATGTGGTGATTTTTAGATTTGGAAAAATAGAAAAATCCTATTGTCCTTATCATACAAAATCCAGAAAGCAAAGATCAGCAAAATCATCGTGGCTGAAGGGACATGAATCCTTTTCTACTGTCTCTGCTCCCCCAAGCATATTGGTGATTGTGTTCTAGTACATCCTCTGCTTCTTTATAGCCCACAGCACAGGGCTTGTGGACATTTCTTTCCTGTCCTCCTAACTTCCCTCCTGCAGGTACACCCACCTCCAATATTTCAGCAGTTTCCTCATGATCCCATCTACCATAGTGGGAGCTGAGGAAACCATTTTTCCTCAAGGATCCAGATTAAGTCCCTATATCCTTGGAGGTTTTACCTCCAGCCAATAGCTCAGAATAAAGCTAATGAGCAATCACCTACCAGAAGCAGGCAGGCAAAAAGTTACATGGTCTACATGACCCAAGCAAAAGAAACACTTTATTTCCTCTCTTTCACAAAAAAAAATGAGTGGCAAAATGAGGAAACTAATGGCATTGACACTGAGCTACAGGATCAGGGTGATAGGGAATGGTGGGGACTGTGGCCAACCACAGCATTCCTAGAAGGAGGTGGCTGATGCTCAGCTCAGCCAAGGGCTGCTGCGCAGGTATGCAGGTATAATGCTGCCAAATCTCTCAACTTTCCAAGGGATGTCAAAATCATATTTCTTTTTTCCACATGAAATATGAATTTTAAATGTTAGTAACTAACTTCACTTTTTTAAAAAAAATACAACACATGAATGGGCTTGGGCATGAGATAGACATTTATAACCTCTCTATTAATCCTTGAGTCACAGACAGCTGTGCTCCCCTACATTTCTGAGACCCCCTTGCTGTTAGGTGAGGCCGTATCCCAGGTTCTGGCTGAGTGCCTGTGAGTGGAGGAGCCACAGTAACTTCTAGGCCAGGGCAATTAAGAGCTGGCTGCCTCCCCCATTTCTCTTCCCCAACAGTCCACTGGCCTGGAGGCCATGTAGTGCAGATGATATAGCAATGCAACAAGATGTAAATGGCTGTTCTTCCCTCCGTAGACAAGGTGGGTGAGATCTTGGGATCTGTTGGTGGGGTATCTTGAGTGCATGTCTTACTTGCAAAAAAACTGCCTGATGGTGGTTAAGCCCTTCCTGGTTGTCAAAGCACCAACTTCCTTTCCTTGGACACCTCTCAGCTCAGGAAGACAGAAAAGACAAGGCTTTGTTATTTCACAGATTAGCAAATCAAAGCACAGAAGGTAGAACTGAACAGCCCAGATGTGTGTAGCGAGTAAGTGGTAGACTAGGATTTTAGCTCTGGGGTTCTGAGTGGACCAGTCTAGTGTTCCTCTTATTCCCATCTGAAGAGCCTGCCTTTGCAGTGTGAGCTCCCTTGCGTGTCAACTGTATCATCTGTGAGCTTGAACAAGGACAACTCACACCCTCCCCTGACACATTTGGTTGCTTGAAGATATACCTCTTACCTTTCCTGTGGACTTGGTCCCCTTCCAGATACAGAAGTAGCAGATGGTCCAGGCCGCCAGGAGACACAAGGCTAGCTCCCAGCGGAGATTCCCAATGTGCTCGATCCCATCTGAGATGGCCAAGACCCGGTGCCTGAAGAAGGGAGGGTGGACAGTCATGGGGGCTGAAGATGGCCCACCCACTCCCACCCTGGACACAGCTAGTGCTGCAGAGGGGCAGGGATGGGCCCACTTGCTTATTTGCCACCTCCCTCACCACCACACACTATTCACCAAGCATCTTCTCTGAGCCAAACCCAGGTCTGAGCATGGTAGCCTCAGAGAGAAACAAGACCCAGCCCCCTGCCTGTATGGATTCACTCCATGAGAGAAAAGACCAGTTAGCAGACAGTTTGCAGTAAATATGGTATGGGTGCAATGGAGGAAGTTCAGGGGCTTGGGGAAGACCAATGTGTACCTAGCCTACCTTGGGGGTGCTGGGAGACCACAGGATGGTCCATGAACATTCCAGGTCCTGCCCTCAGGGGAAATTAGACATCCTTAGCCTACTGACCTCAACAGCGGCCACAGAACTTGCTTCAGTCAATGGCAAGTGTCACTTCAGACAGAAACTTTCAGAGCCAGGTATTATGGTTTGCCCTGTTCTCTTCTGCTCACTGCTGCTGTCTTGACAGAGCATGGGCAAGGATGGAACCTCTAGAAGCCTGAGTTCCTGAGTGACTAGGTAAGCCTTCCACTGGGCAGACCTCACTTGAGAAACACACGTTGTTGCTGTAAGCTCCTGAGATCGTCAAGGGCGTTTATTACTGTAGCATAACCCAACCTGTTCCAACTGATACAGGTGGGCAGGCAAAACTTCCTGTAGAAGTGATATTTGAGTCAGACTTTGAAGGATGATGGAATTTAGCTAGGAGAGGGAGGAGGATAAAGATTGTTTTAGGTCAAAGAAATGAATGGCACAAGCAAAGGCCAGAAAAACAGCAAGGAGTGCTTGGGGAGTGCTGGAGCACAGGGATCGGAAGGGAAAGGCAGGAAAGGTAAACAGGAATGTCATCAGGACCTTTAAATAGCATGCTAAGGGCAGGGGTGTTCCAGAGGGCACAGGCCACAGGAGAGAAAGGACCCCTGGATCTGTTGAGCCAATACCTTCCCTTAGAACCCACCAATTCTTCACAGCTGACACAGGCCTGGCTCCTAGAACCCATGTCTGGGGTTTGTGTTTTTTTAAAGTCAAACTCGCCACGCTCCATATTGTGCAGAACCATGGCACCAACAAAAACCCCTTCCAAACTTGCTCCATGAACCTTGTTCTGGCTGCCAAACCAACCGTACTGGACCACGCCAGTCGCCTCGGCACTCTGGGAACATCCTTTGAGCAAGCAGCTCCCATCCCACCAAGCATGAAAGCCTTCCTCAGTGTCTGTCTCCCTGGGAATCTGTTCAGGGCCTGATTCTGCATTAATTACTCAATGACACCAATTAGCACTGGTCTGCAGGCTCCCTCTAGCCCTAGTCCCCGCCCGGAGAAATCAGGCAGGTCCCCAAACAACATCAGGCTGTGTGTGGCCATGGCTACTTAAAAGGAAACCAGCTCTCAGACCTATAGCCAGAAGTTGGAACTGACATTTAAATACATGTTTATTGAGCACCTACTATGTGCCAGGGACTATATGAATATTGAGGATAAAAAGGTAAGCATTATTATGGCTCTTGCCGTCTGCTAGGATAATTTGAACAAAAAAGAAGTCCAGTTATTTGAGAAAAAAAAGGAGACAGCCATATAGTTATTACAATGATTACTTCACTCACTTCTTGTGTCTTAGCAGTCTCTGGTTTTAGTTCATTTAAAAACTGCAGGCCTTATTACACGAGACCTTCAGGAGTATCTATTATCATCACAGAGTAACAGGCCCCCAGACCCTGGTCCTTGTGGGGTGCTCACCAAAAATACAAAAATTCCTGCATCTCATCTCAGTCCCACTGAGTCCAAATCTTTGCAATAACTCCCAAGAAGCTGCATTTTGCCACCTTTCCCCAAAGACTGTTTATGCATGGTGAGGCTTGAGCACCATGGAAGAAATTTCCTGGCAATGAAGATATGACCTATGAACTCCACCTGAATAGTTTGTAACCTTTTTTTTTTTTTTTTGAAGTGGAACTGGGAAAGGCATCAGGGAACTTTTGGGGAACTATCAAAGGGACAGACTTTCTCCCCAGAGAAATACTCTGATGCACCCACTCCCAGAATTCTGCAAGGAACTTCAGGGTGCCCATCAACTGTCTTGTCTCTACATAGAGAACCACATAGGGAATATGTACCTACCACCTTACAAACTGCCCCCCAAAAGTGTCCTGAATGCCCAGGGACACCCCAGAGCAGGAAAGAAAGTAGACTACTGAAGATGCAAATGACCTTGGTGTACATTGTCCCAGTCCACTCCAGACTCTGTATTTTTCATTAAAGAAACACGACAGTTCCCTAGCTAACAGGGGTATACACACATACACACGCGCCTTCCTGTTGATGTAGGTGATGTCTGAACCGGGTATCTAAAAACTGGAAATGGCACAGAAACAGGGGGAGACAGAAGTGGGTAGACCTGCCAGGAGCAGGATGGCTCAGGTCCCCTCTCTCCCACATTTTAGATGCTGCAAACTTTTGAGTCATGCAGCCTGCCTCGGTGCCCTCTCACTTAATGGAACAATCTAATTCCCAGAATGGGAAGCATATTACTAAAAGCTACGCAGGATGAATTGCTCTTTTGTTTCACCAGACACTATTTGAAAACATCCCCTAACTATTTTCTTTAGGTTTCACCAGCACTGACTTTAGCGATGGACCTTGGGTTTCTTTAGAAAGGGGGCTCGGGGGCCAGGTTCTCAGCCTGCAGGGCTGTGGGGTTATTTTGAAACCCACAAGAGCAGCCATTGAGAGCATGGGGGCTGGGGCACTCAACTCTGGGGATTTGGAGAAGGCACAGCTCTTCCTGGGAAAAAGCTTTCTTAATGACCCTCCCCCATGAAGTGCTGGGACAGAAGAAAGGTCTGAATAAGGAAGAGTTTGCTGCCAATACCCTGACCAAAAAGGACCCAGGCACAGACCTCCCAACACTGTTTAGAGAGTGGGAAATGTTGAAAACTAGATAGGGCTCTTTGGAGGGATTCACTTACTTGAATAATAGTGTGTGCCCACTGTGAGCTAGGTGCAAAAGCAGATTCTTTATGCAGCATCTTTTTCAGGGTGTAAAAGTAGAATATTTCTGGAGATTGCCTCCTAGAGGCAGAAATCTCAGAGCTTGGAGGTATAATGCCTGTTTCTCCAGCCTTTGACACATACAGTGATAGGCGGGGTTCAAATCCCAGCTCTGCTCACCAGCTGTGTAACCTTGGATAAGGGACATCACTTCTCTGAGTCTCAGCTTCTTTATCTGTCAAATGGGAATGACACCTCCCTTCTATAGGTTTTCAAGCTCATCTAACTCTCCCAATAATCCTTGAGGTAGGTACAATTATTATCATCATTTCAAAGAAGGGGACACTGAGATGCAGAGAGGTTAAGTAGATGACCCAAAGTCATACCACAAGCAAGAGACAGCTGTGATTTGAACCCAGGTATTCTGGCTCCAGAGCCCACATGTTCAGCCTTAATGTTAGCTGCTAGATTCCTCATAACACTAAAATCTATGCCTTCCTCTCTTCTTATAAATCAAAGTGTAAATGTACACCCCAAAGCTATCTCACATGTCTGCATATGAGATAAAAGTAGTATATGGTACATGCCCTCATGCATTTACTGATTTATTCAACTAACACTTATTAAGGTGTCTTCAGTGTGCCAGGCACTGTGCTAGGCCTAGTGGTCTGTAAAGAGCTTGTGTTCTAATGGAGAAGGCACTGGAGCAGGGCATGGAGAGGGGTGTGACAAGGGAGAGAAGCAAGGGACCCTCACCAGCCATCTGGCCAATATCGGGATGCAGGGGTGTGTAGGGGGAGGGTCCTAAAAGATGGGAAGAAAGTTAGTAAAGAGGAGGGAGGGCATTTGGGACAGAATGGCCACCAGAGGCAAAAGCCAGGAAGCTGGAACAAAGGCTCTGCGAGCCCAGGGGAAGGCACAATGTTGGCTCAGTACAGCATGTGCGAGGGTGAGAGGTGTGGGTGAGGATGAGGCCCAGGTGGTGAGCTAGGGGTGGGCTGGGAGCCTTGATGAGGAGCTGGAGCTTCATCCCGTGGGTAAGGGAAGCCAAGAGGAATCTTAAATCTTAAAGCAAGACCCCATAAGATGCATGTTTCCAAAAACTCTCTCTGGGGAGAATGGACAGGAAGTGTGGAATGGGGTGGGTGCCCAGTGCAGACTTTTGCTTTAATTTGGACAATAAAAGAGGAGAGTCTGGACTACAGTACGTGAATGGCTCTGGAGGGGAATGGGTGGGTTTGAGAACAGCAGAGGCACATGGTGACTGCCTGGGGTGGTGGGTAGCAGGGAAAGTCTAGGCTGACACCCAGGTTCATATGTGGTGGACAGCGGGTTATTAGCTGAGCAGGAGTGAATTGTCAAGTGGGGTAGAGGGGGGGGAGGTGGAGAGTCAATCTTTCAGGTAAGATTATTTTGAGGTGCTTGTAGAACATCCAGGTAGCTGTAATGCCCAGAGGCAACTGGGTCTCTGGGTGCAAAGCTCAGTAAAGAAATGCAGGGAGAAGCTTCCAACCTGAGCCCTGGGCAATCAGGGCATCCTGGGTCCTGGGAGAGCAGGAGGCCGCCGGAGAGTGCTGAAGACGGGGAGGGACAGGGACTGCAGCAGAGGCCCAGAACCCCAACATTTATGGCAGAGAGAGAAGGGAGGCATCCTTGAAGGAGGCAGAGAAGTGTGAGCAGAAAGGCAGGGGGCAACAGGAGAAGGGGGCCTAGGAAGGCAGAGACAGAGGGACAGGCATCCCAGAAGGGCAGGAGTCCAGCAGCCCAGTGCTGCAGGGCAGTGGGGTGAGAGGGAGGGTGTGGGGGGCTGGGGCTAGCAGGTGAGGCAAGGGCTGACTTCAGATGGCCAGTGGTGTGGGTGGGGAACAGACAGGAGGTGAGACCCTGGAGAGGTGGCTCGTTTGGGCAGTTGGGCTCTGATGGGTCAGAGATGGTGGAAG